ACCTTAATGATTCTATGATTCTATATTCTATTCTATGAGTTACTGGGGTAGAAGGCTGTAACATCTGCATCTGGCTCCAGTTGACAGGAGCTTTTTTAGTGTACTAGGATGATTGTGGCTGTAATTCAGACCCCCAACTTGGTAAAACATTTCTATGTAGAAAAGCTGCTGAAAGTTCTCAAGCTTTCCCTCATCTTTCAGACATTGGTAAGTTTTGAAAATGAATATGGGATTGTAACCAACTTGTAATTCACGCTATTCAGAATCATTCTTCTATTCACTTTCCCCTTTTAAATTAAAAGACCAAATTCTTATATGTCTATTTATTCGGGTTACAGAGTTCTCAGAAAATCCATTGAGTACGGTGTGCCTGCACACAGCCTGAAACAATAGCTCAAAGCAAGGTGTGAACTGTCCCATTCATCTTAATGGGGTGTTAACTTCAAAACCTCCTGCTGACAATTTAGATATCAACGTTTTTAACTATTTCATTGCTGATCATTTAAGCAGAACCTTCCAGTTTGTGTTTTTATCCTATCCTAAATGGCTGTCCCGTACCTTCTCAGGTGCCAAAAATCTCAGCTGCACAACATCATCCAGCTGCCAAAATCTTCAGCTCCCTGCTGACAGTGGCAATGAGGATATTTCAATACACAATTCTTCAATTGTGAAAATTAAAAAAATGGAATAATCTCCATTTATAGTTACTATCAAAACAGCTTAACAAAGGAATACTGAACCGACTAGATTAGCAACTTAAGTGTAAATTAAAGTGTAAATTAAAGCCCTCCCTTTTTATAATTGTTGTGAAGCAAAAAAATCACAGAATTTCCAGACTCAAAGGACTAAACCACTTTGCTGCAGAGTTTAGGATGACAAATGTGTATGGTACCATGACTGTGAATAACACCGTTTCTATATGCTTGGTTATAACTTTTTTCTGTGGGTTCAAATACTGTTTTTTTAATAAAAAGTATCACACCTTAGGCTGCTTCTGTAAGATTAAAAAGTGCAATTAGATAACAGCTATATTGGTCCATTTTACTTTGTATGAAAGGTATGCCCTAAAATGAAAAAAAAAAAAAAGACACCACACAAACATGTTTTTAAGAAAAATACGGAAGTGCTGACTTACAATCAGCATCTGCAAAAATAATGTTTGGGCTTTTCCCACCCAGCTCCAGTGTAACTCTCTTCAAATTACTCCTTCCAGCTGCTTCTTGAATCAGCTTCCCAACCTGAAAGGAAATGGAGACACATTTTACAGGGAATGTAGTCATACAGTTCACTTTAACAGCCAAGTTGGCTATCACTGGAACAGAGCTTGAAATAATCCAGCAGGTTCTTCAGTCCAAACAAATTCTCATCAGCAGTGGATAGCTTTCCAGGTTTTTTTCTAGAAATTGAGAGGGGATAAGGCACAGCACAAAGTGTTGCTACCCTTCACCTGTTTGTATCTGTGCTAAAACAGGTTGGGGCTTTCTTTTAGGATGCTTTAGGAGGGCTGAATTAAAAATCTGAAATTGGTGTAACTAGAATTACTTCCATCCAAATCACTGGCATGTTCACAAGGTTTTAGATACTATTAAGAGGTTTAGTTATATAATTTTCAGTAGAAAAAATAGATCTGATATCTGAGTATGTATTAAGCATGTATTAAGCTTATTACTACTCGTTAGTAATAACTGCTATCATACTTCTTTATATAGTCCAGGTGTTGGTTACCCCAGATGATCACAGCTTTTAGAATTTATTTCATTCTTCTTACTACTTATAGTTACTAAACTGCTAGCCAACCTGTTTGTAGGAGGGCATTTGTTCTCCTCAAAATACAGTTTTCAGTGCCCAAAAGTTTATGTAATTTGATCATGAAATCATGATCCAGAGTATGTTGAATTCTGATGAAATCATCAGCCTTTTCTGTGGGATTAACAGCACATAGCCGAATACCAAGAAGGGCGAGAAGTTACAAAAGCACCACCCCAGACCTGACCCTCAGCTGCACCACAGTTAATCTTAATATGGGTTGAGGAGGTCAAAAGCACCTCCAAAATGTCTCTGTAGATTGTGGCATCAGCTGGAGCAGAATGCATGGCGGGACCAGCCACAAATTGCAGATCTCGCCAAGGAACATGTAGATTAAATGGGACAGCTACCTATTTGATGTGTTTCCACGTCAATACAGTTGGAGAGGCAGCTGTGCTTCCTAGAAATTCTCCCCTCCCTGGATGAATGAATCCAAAATAGATCAGATTTTATAATGTTGCAGTGTAATTATGCCCATTTTGCAGCTAAGGAAGTAATCACAGGTAGATTTAGGCTCCTACGTGGTAAAACACGGGATTAAGAGTATCTATTGAATATTGAGAAGCTTGAGAACCTTGCTAAGTGCTTTCTTTTAACTGGGACATGTTTTAAGGTCACACAGAAAGTTAGATGTGAAGTGAGATGGGAGATGGACTTTTTTCTCCATGTAGTACTCTGGTCTCTCTAGCTGTTTTCTATTTCTAAGATCAGGTGAGTGAGATTCCCTGAAGTAAGGGGTTAATGAATGAGAAGCTGAACCTCTTAGAGAACCGAAGGCAGTCTGCTGGAGAAAGTTAAGTCAGCACTGGTGTAATCAGAAAGCAAATGAAACAGAAACCAAGGCTCCCACAGAAAAAACAAAGCAAAAACCCCACAGGATAATGAAGGAATTGTCAACCACTTCATGTACCTTTGTGATTAACTGTTTATCTGGTGATACCACAGTTGAGTGTGACTGAAGTTATTTCTTTAAAAAAAAAAAAAATTTAAATTAGCTTCTCTTCTTTACCCCTGTATTGATGGAATGGGGTGTTGACATTATCATGAAATTCCTTGCATATCCCCTTAATTGGAGCTGATTTTATTGCTATGTTTGACTGACAGCCAGAAGTGAACATGAAAAAGAAGGACCCTTTCTGCCCTCCACCCCCACCACATACATCGAGCATGTCATCTGGAAATTCCAATCTCACTGGAAACCAGTGAGAGTGCTGTGTTGATAGCCAGTGCCAGCCAATGCCATTCACACCCTCACGGCCTTGAACCTCCCTCTCTCAAAGAACAACAACCACCCATTTCCCCCTCAAAAATTCACAAAAAGCAGAACAGACCAAGGAAGCCAGAGCAATGTGTCCAGCCCACCATCTCTCTGCCATCCATTCTACCACTTTAATGTCAAAACTCTTTTGTCCTTGTAAGTAAAGAGTTTGAAAGGATTCTATGCAAACAAGTGATTGGCAAATATGCAAGTCCAAATTTTATGTATATGGCAAATATTAAAGTCCAAAGGGCTTGGAGACAATGGTGTTAATTTGAAAAAGTATCGTCCAGAGTATTGTTAATACAGGGAGGTTGTTGTCAAGTTTCCAAGTATAAACTTAACAGACAGCTTCACTGTGTCCTTCCCGTTAGAAATCAGTGTAGACATCAGGATGGTAGGGCTCATGCTGCTCAGCATTTTTGTTCACTGTGCTTGTATTGTGCCCTATGCACTTAGAGGTTGAGAAAAGTCTTAGGGAAGGCACCAGCGCTGTGATTATTTAGTGACAAAGGCAGCCTTTTGTGGCTGACCCTCTCTTTATGGAGAAAGACAGCATGAAAGGGATAAGTGATAGTGTTGCAATCTGTATGGTCTTTCAGTACATGCTTCCTGTGGCGTCTCTCAGCTATATCTGTGAGCTCCCAATAGGCAGAACAGCCTTGCGAGGGAACACTGGAAGAGAGGACTCCCCCACAGATAATGGAGCTGTGTGATTTTGTTGGCAGAGAAAGCCCTGACTCCCCATCCTTGTTTTGAATAGGCTTCAAGATTGATATCGGGGGTATCCCTGGATAGCTTGTGAAGTACCATAACCTTGTAAGCTGCGTGGAGGGTGAGGCAGATGTAATTTGGCCCATCTCAAAGAAGACAATTTGTTATTCAGAACAACAACAACAAAAAAGATTAAAGAAGCATTTTGCGGCACCCCTGTGCAAAAAAGCTATTTGAAGAATAGTCTTGGAAGGATCTGTTTCTGGACTGTGAACTGTATGACGTTAGGCATTGAGAGTTTATCATGATACAAAACATTTGATTGTTGCTTATTTATGCCTTCCGTGTTTGGAATTTTAATGTCCCTTTCAAGAGGAGGCTTATACAGTCACATTTTAAATACTTTGTGCAGAAATTAAAAAAGTCTGTTGCCTTTCACGTTCTCATAATTTTCTGTTTTCAGACAGAAATCAATGTTTCTAAATAGTACAGGTGGGTTTGCCTGTTACTGTTAAAGCACTGGAAGTCTCACAGGTCAAAAGCAAACCTCTACAGGTTTGTGATATTTCCTCTACAGCTCTGTCAGAATGTCTGGCTTCTCCTCTGCTCTGAACCTTCCTTTGATCACAGATACATGTTAAGTCATTAGGGAATACCTGAATGTAGGGCAACAGCAGTCTGGCTGAACAGCAGGTAATTTTCTTGCACGCTGCCACAGACAAGACTGAAGGTAAGACTGCACAGGAAGCTATGTAGATTAAAAGATTCCACAAACAGTGCAAAAATTGACAGAGGAGACATACATCTTCAGTTACTTAGGCATTTTAAGTAATTGGGCTGCCCATCTTCGCTATTATACCTTTCTTGGGATACTGAGAGAATTTCTGAAGAACAGTAAGTGCTTTAAGTTACAAGAAATGGATTAAGTTTTGGGGAGATGGTATGATCAGACAGAAATTTTCTGTGTTTTCTGGAATTGCAGTTTTCTCTCTCCAGCTATTGAGGCACTGGATGTCAAGTGTTTTGGCAAAACCTTCAAACCCATGCTGCTACTTACTTAGTCTGTCTGAGTTTTTTTAAATTCCAGATTGTATGCAAAATCTTTCTGAGAAACATTTTAGGACTGCATGGCGTGTTCAGGGTGTGTCTCCAGCAAAGACAAGTGAATTTTGAAATATTGACATGAAGAGCAGCAGCTTTAACTGTGCAATGCCCTGTGTGAGGAGCAGCCCTGAAAAGAGCATAGTGAATAGTGCAGCACAAGTAAAAAGGCAATCCCAAACAGAAATTCCTGGAGAGAATCCTAAGCCATAAATGGCTTATTTGTTCCTTGGGTTAAATCCTGGCCCCATGGAAGTCCATGGCTGAACTCCTGTTAACTTTGACAGGGCTGATAGACTACCCTATTTGTTTCAGTTTTAAGAAGGCAAATCCTATCTTTTATAGGGAACGAGACACAACAGTTGTCCAAGGACAGCTCCCTAAATTCTACCAAAAACACCAAGGAAGGAAAAGGGAAACACTACTTTTCATTCAGGAGGCACAAGCTGTCCAAGATATGATCAAAAAGATTCAGCAGAAGCAGGAAGGAATGATAATGTAGCCTCCCTAAATCCTCCTTATTTTGAACAGGACATGTGTGTAGCATGGTAAGCTAACAGACTTCTCAGAACAGGTCAAATCACCTTTAGGATTCTTGTTGCTAAAATAGAAAATGCCAGGATGTAATTCTTCATGATATCCAAAACCAGCAAGAGATTGTGTGATCCAGGAGAGCTCATTGCTCGTGCAGTAGGTAGACATTCTGTCTACATCATGCATTGTAACATTCATCTCACTTCGGAAATGAAAGGAGGATCCTGCTGAGTAAATTAGAATCAGTGGTAATACAGCTGTTAGCTACAAACATTTGTTTGGCATGAATCAATCTTGACTCTCCTGTAGTTTGCTTTGATGGTCTCTCTAGTATCTTGTTGACTAATGATGAGATCATGGTTTGTTAATCTAAGTGCATAAAGAAAACATTCTGCCAAGCAAAATGCAGACTCTTTTGCTGGGGTTTATTGCAGTTGTTTATAGACCTTTTGTTTACACAGGCATCCAAACCAATTTGTTGGATATTTATTTGGGTTACTCTACAGAACTGCATGAACACAGTCCTGAATCCTATCTTTAATCTGTCTGCATTTTAATGGGTCATAGTTTGAACAAAGTGGAAACCAGCCACTTAGGATACATTTCTTGTTGGCCAGGGCTTCAAATGTTTTGTGTGCTATCTATAATTCTCATCTTGAGAGCGTTTAACAACTGGAGAGAGTTGTAAGCCACTCTGATTTGGAGGTAACACATTTGGTTTTGAACAGAAGTTATTAGAACTCATTGAACTTTTGGACCAAGCAAAATACAATTTTTAATCCAGCCAGTGCTTTAAATGCCCATATTTTCAAATATGTAACTTCTTGCTCTCCATAATAATTTCTAATCTTAAGCCCGGAACATACTGCAACCAACTATTGCATGTGCGCCAGGAACTTAGGGGTATGCAATTCCTGTTCAAACGGAGCACGCATATACAGACATGGCCAGACAGCTCACAGCAGTCAAAATGGCTGTATTTACAAAGCCTGTATCTGAATTCACAGATTTGAGTGGAGATAAGGCAAATGAAGAATAAAGCAGCTTCTGATGGCTGCTTTTCTCTGCTGTTTGAAGGCCTCTCACCTTTGCTACTTAGCAAAAGTTCTTTTAGAAAATAAGAAGGTAATATGAAGAACCTCTCTGCATTTCTGGTATGTGTAAAAATTGTCCCCTCATCTGCACTTGTCTTGGAAATAAATGAGGTCCACTGTTCATTTAACTGGGGAAGAGAAGAGACTTGTATAACCTCTGCTGTGCTTCTGAGCTTTGCAGCCCAACAGCAGACACATGGATAAGCCAGACATCCTGAGTTTGGATTTGTTCTCAAGCTCAGAAAATATAAATGTCTGAGTTTTACTTTAATTAAATTGTTGCTAGTAATTTTTTAAAAGGAACTCAAATAGGCAGGAATACATGGAACAGTGAAGAAGCTGAGGCAGAGAGGGGCAGAGTAAAAGGGAAAGGCACGTATAGTGAACAACTGGGATAGTGTGGGAGATAGCTGAGCTTTACAGAACTACTCCCAAGGTCCTGGTGAGTGAGAGTTTCACCCTACAGCCAGGGACCAGAAAGATCAAGGAGAAACACAGTAAGACGTAATAAGATATTTAAATTGATTATGGGCTTTCAAGGGAAGGTAAGAAAAGGATAGGAGCAAGTATTGACATGGTCAGATTGGCTGGAAGAAAGATTGGTTTTGGCAGTTTAAATTTCATCTGATTGTGGAAGATGAGGGGAAAAAAAACGTGTCAGTGAAGCCTGAGAGGAGATTGTCATAATTAAGGAGGATCATGGATTAGCCCTGGTTCATGAAAAACAACACAGTAAAAATAAACACTTTTATTAAAATGCCCATACCAAACAAGCTGCTGAAGAGTATGAACCAAAGCAAGCAGAGAAGCCCAAGCTGCTGGAATCTAAGAAGGTACAGTATTTTTAGGCTTGCTTTCATACTCAGTATGATTTTCTTTCTTTTGGTGTGACAGTTGTCAAAGTGAAATTCATAGCCTGCCAGGTGTCTGCAGAACTCTTCCTAGGGAGCTGTAGAGAGAAGAGTTTTGAGAGCCATGCACTAGGGGACTGACTGGGAGAGGAGGTGATCCATGGGAGGGTGTTTCATAAGAAGCAGGCAGGCTAAGCGATGAAAGAGCTGGCAAACGACTCTTTCAATGTGCGTGAGCTAACCCATAAAAGGAGGGGTCAGAAGGAAAGAGGGAGCGAAGTGGAATCAAACAGTGATGGTACCACAGAAAAAGAGCTTTTTATGATTTTTCACATATTATTTGGGGGGGGAATGTGTGAAAAGTAAATAGTAGTACTTAAAACAATTTTCAAAGCACTAGAGAATCTAAGAAACAGAAAAGAAATAGAAAGGGCAAACTCAACCAGCATCACAAATTAGAAATCAGTATCATAAATTAGAAGTCATTTATGTGTTGTCACTGCATAGGCATGGGCTTGAGGCCTCACAATAGTCAGGAGTTTCAAGAGGTACTGGACTAATGCATGGATGACAAGGCCATTGGTTGCTATTAAATACAATTGTCCACATGCACCTTCGGGCTCAGGAAGTCTTTATATTGTTGATTACCAGAAGCTGTGAGGCTACAGCAAGGAAAGGATCACTCTGCACATGCTCTCTTCTTCTATAAGCATCTGTTACTGGTCATGTTTCAAGATAAAGTGCTAGGTTGGATGGATCTTTGGTGTGGCTATGTCAGGCTTTATTGAGTTAAGGTCATGAACTTGGCCTTTTGGCTCATATTGCTATGGATTGGGTTCTACAAATTTTGGAAAACATTAGCATTAAATTTTTTGTAGGAGGAGCAGCCTGTTTTCTGCCTTTAAAAAAACTTTGCAGGAAATTGGTAATAATAGCCTGGTTTTTGTGATTTTTACAGGCAAATGGGGAGTTTTCATCAGCCATAAGTACATACTTCAAAGGTAAAGAATTTGTATTTTTTTCCAAAAGAACCTCATGGTGAAAACCTGAGAAAAACCTGTGCTTCAGACATCTAAACTAGAAGATCTTTGCTTTTGTACTGATACGGTTTTATCATTAACGTGCTCAAGCTGAAAGTACTAACTGCCTTAACTAGCACCTGGATGAAATGGAGGAATGGAAGTTAATATTGTGGTGTTTATATATCTGATGGCTATCGGAAATTCACATCACTGGAGTGTACAGTTGACATGCCTCAGACAAGACCAGAGACACAAAATATTTCCATTATTATTTCATTAGAAATTGAAATCTGTTTTGGAGAAGTCAAAGACTCTATAGTACAGCTTATATCACAGCATTGTGTTTAAAAAGTTACAATGTTGACTTGCTATTACAAAAATTCAGTGTTACAGGAAATCAGAAACAATATGGAATAGTTTACACTAACTCTGCACTAAAATGTTCCATCTGTTCTTGCTTTAGGTTCTTAGAGAATTGCTTTTTCATCTCTGTAATGCTTTTCACTTCCTATTAGTAAGGCTTTTAAAGGTAGGCACTGAGTTAGTATAAAACCCACAGCTTTTGAGTTTAAACGCCTATTAAAACTAAAGCTGTCTGGAACTACAATAAAAATTTATTTTGGCTACAAAAGACAACTTTGAAACCTAACCCATCTGTATTTTTCCTCCTCCAAACAGTGCAACATCCTGTATAATAGGATATTTATCTTAAACAGAGACCACATATCTTTATGAAAACAATTGTTTCAACTTAATTTATGGGGGGTAATCAGCTCATATTAAAGTTTTCAATATTCCAGGATGCTAATATAAATTGGTTACAGGAGATGTAATGACTAGAGTAATTCCACAGAATAATCTAAAATCTGATGTTGCCATTGATTTAGAATGTAACCTGTGTATATTATAATCTGAAATTGCCATGAAAAATTAATGTACAGGCATATAGTAATTGCAAAACAACTGTGTGTGTGCAAATTAGGCATATGACTGCAGCTACATTTTAGTGGTAATTTAGGCTCATGGATGGTGACTTCCAAACTCGATTACAGGATAATTCCACCAGAATAATTTATTTGAAATAATTGAGCTGGTCTCTGCAATCCCTGGTCCCAACAGGGAGATACCCATATATATCTAGTAGGGCTGCTTGCTCAGTGATTTTACCAACTCAAATCAAAACCAAATTGACTCACTGTGAAGAGCAGTATCCCTGGGATGCAAAAAGCCTCTTACTGCCACGAGTGGGAGTCAAACATATCAAAGAGAGACTGGATTCCTGGGGTTTAGCTCCCTCCATACAATAGTTTGTCAGATTTTGAATTGAAAAGGGCCGGGTTTAGCACTCTCTAAATATAACCAGCCCTGAAACTCCCACTGAGATTCCTCTCTGTCTGCCTTCAGACGATGAGATAAGGCCCCTTCTCCTGTGACTTCAGTCTGGAGTACCTCTATCATCCCCACCCCAACCCCGATAACAGCCAGCTTTGCACATATTTGAGAGCAAGACATGATCTGAGTTTTGAGGGATTCGTTACTCTTTCTGTAGATTACAGCCTTCGTCTTCAGACCGAACCTCCTCTGTAACATCTGCATCATAGATGCAGACATTTTGGCATCCAGGAGGCAACTGACTCCCTTCATCTTCCAGCCAGCTTCTTTCTGTCATTTTGGGAACAGACACCCTGGACAATCTCCTTTTCTCCCTGCACTTCTTCCTTTTTAGACCCCTTCCTCATCCTCAACATACTTCAATGCAGCATCAAAGTTGACGTACATTTGCCCAATTTGCCCCCTTGCTCTCCCCTTTTCCCCAAGTACGCCAAGATACACAAATTATGGATGCTAAAGCAGCATTTATGTGTGCTGTGATACACACGGGATGTTCTGCCTACTTGCATGTGATTCACATCCTCATAAGCCCACAGGAAATCCCAGCAATATTTTTCCAGGCATATCTCCTGTGCTGAGGTGCCGAGCACAGCAGGGGCTGGAGGAAAGGAGCCATTTCTACTTTGGAAGTACTGCGGTACTTAAGTTTAGTTGGGAAGGACAGACCACTGTTATTTAGCTCTTTAGATGTAGCTCTTTTACTCAGTGAGAAATGTAGCACAAGGACTTAATACTATCTCCCTAAGCATTTACTCACATTTTACAGTAACATATCCGTGAATCCTCTTACCTCAGTGGATCCAGTAAAAGCAATTTTATCAATGCCAACATGAGATGCTATGGCTGCACCAACAATTGGACCAAACCCTGGCAAAATATTGACAACTCCTGGTGGAAAGCCAGCCTGTCAAAATAGGAATGAATGAAGGGAAGCATGATTTACGAAAACTGACAGAGCACATTAAACCAGGCATGTATTGGTAGTTCCTTCCCCACAAGGAAACACAGAGACATTATTCCTATCAATTATTCTTACCTCCTTGATGAGGGTTCCCATATAGAGAGCGCTGAGTGGTGTTTGTTCTGCTGGTTTAATAACTACTGTATTGCCACAGCACAGAGCTGGAGCAATCTTCCATGCAAACATCAGCAGGGGGAAGTTCCACTGTAGAAAAAAAATAAAAGTTGATATATGGAAAAATATTGCAGTGGTGTTTTGTTTTCAAGATGTCAAGCTGCTACCTCACTTATTTCTCAGGCTGATCCTCAACATAAATCTTTCCCAGCACAAAGCAAGGATTTTTTTTTTTTAATTACTGCCATTAAGAAAGGGACAACAGTGACCTTTTAGTTCTTTCTCTCCGGTTCAAAGAAATACAGCCCCCACCCGCAGTCTTCATAAAAGAATCTTCTGTTATCTGTTAATTTTTTTAGTCACAACTTTTTATTTCATTTACTGTTTTGCAATTGGCACTTCTAATTGCCCATGACAAATAGTTCTTGCTTCTGATACATTTGGAAAGAACTGTTTGTTCGTGCTGAAGCATTTTTGGATGTAAATTTCCTATCCCTGAATACACCTTAAGATATAAAATTTATACTCAAAATTATATAATCCTTAATTGACAGGATTACAATAAAAAAACCCATAAATGTCAATGCTTGGTCAAAGCATTTCTTTTTCTTGAAAACTTCTTAATGAGCAATTTATATGGAAGATGTTAAAAGCATGTTACGAACAATAAGAAAAACAAGTTTGAGAAACACTGCTAATATGAAATTTTGTATCATCATTAATTTCAACTTCATTTAACTACAGCAGAAGATGTAGTGAATTCTATTAGTTTGATGCACAAACAAGTTGTGGAAAGATAAGGGAGTAACAAGTCTTTCTGCATCAAGGCCTGATCCTAATGGGTTAAGTGGATAGCCCTGCTGATTTCAGTGGAAATGCCAGAGTAATAAAATAACTGCATTTGCACAATCACTTTTATAAATGCATATAATAATCTCCTTTGGAAAGAAAATAGAAAGTATCAGTCACAAAGAGTCAGCCACTGGCCAGAACATGTTATTGCCTGATGCATATCACCTGCCACTCTCATGGACATCTCTCTAGCCCCTGGCTAGCTTGAAAAAATACACAACTGTCTGTCCTTCACCAAACACCCAATTTTTTACTCCCTCAGTTGTTTATAAACTCTGGAGACAAAGTAATGTTTTAATTCCATCTCCAGTATATAAACCTGGGAGGGGAGCTATAGGGCCAACAGTGTGCTGACAGCCTGCACTTCTAATAGTATTGCAAGGAGAGCTCTGATGAGTTTTATAGGGTAGTACATATCCTTGTTTATGCTACAAAGCTGCCAAAGAGCATATGTTTTGATGGAAGCTGGGATGTGAAAGAGGATGAGGAGTCTAGTGTTAGGCTTGCTGTTTAATTTTATTTTTGTAGTAACATATTTGCTAGTATAATGGTTAAGTGCATGCAGCAGCCCAGGGGCTCTACTCTCTGACTGGTAGCTGTGGAGGAAATACATCACAGATTAGCAGCGTTAAATAGATGCATATGACAGCCACGTTGAAGTTTTGGAGGACAAACTTGGGGGAAGAATGAACAAGTATGGTAGATGGCTGGGTCCCCTGAACAAAGAGTTCTATAAATCTAAACTAAATAAATCCTGCTTTTGGCATGATCATCAGCCTGTGGCCAAGTTTCTTCAACAGATCCATCAGTTAAGCTCAATGAGACAAGCCCAAGAGATGTCCAGCAACTTTGGGGTTAGATGTTGGGGTTGTCATTTTGCAAATGCTTATCCATGTGCTTGGCTGAAAAATGGGGACAGAGCTGTGGAATCATTCATTCATAAGGACCACTCGCGAGTCAAGTTAGGAGATTGCATAGGTGTTTGCAAGACAGGTGTAGCCACAGACTCTCTGAGTTGTTTGCATGTTTCCCTGAGTTTCTATGGAGTGCTAAACACAACAGCCACCCCCTAACAAAGACATGAAATAACAACAATATAAATGGGGAAAAAGGGCTTAAATTGTTAAAGTAATCTGTTCTGTCTGGTCCTTTTTTAATGGAATTGCTGCATGTTGCTATTCAGTGGCTTTGTGGTTAACGTGAACAAAATAAAAAAAACAACATCAACAAAATTTTCAGAGAATGTCCTGATTAGTTCCCCAGTGCTTTTGTCAAGGAAAAAAGCTTCCATACAATATTTTAATAGCTATATGTGAGCCTCCCATTGAAATTTCTGCCAAAGCTGGTTAACTGGTTCTTGTGAAAAAGTTAGCTTCTCGGTGTAATTCCCATGCAGTGTTCAGCAAGAGTATATTAAGGATGTATATTGCGGTGTAGGGGGAGTATTAGATTTGATGAAATGCTGTGTTTCTCTCTCTCATAACAAATAAACATTTCATGTCTTTTATTAGCTACAAAATGTTAATTGTAATGATATGTCTCCTGGAGTTTCCTTTTCTCCTCCAGCCTTGTAAAAGAAATAGCAGGAAAGAATGGAATTAAAATGCATCACATTCTCCCAGGAACTGAGGAGCCTGTTAAATCACAGTAAAAACTAAATAAATAAAAAGACTACCACAGCAAAGCATCAATTTTCCATAAGTTGTGTGAACATCCATAATCACTGACAGCATATTAACACTGTGTTTTGCTTTGCTTGTTTTAATCATGAGAATTCTATGACTTGAGAACTTAACTCCTAATAACAGAGCCTAAACCCTATTAGCATGTTCAAATAAGCATTTGCAGGGAGGCTGTTAAAGATATGTCAACAATATGAGCTCAGCTTTTTTCGTAATGGAAAACACACATAGCTGAGGACTATGTTTTATGTGTCTTTAAAGAGAGCTGGTTCAAATGAAAATAAATAGAAAGCACTAGTAGAGATACTCACAGGGATGATCTGTCCACACACTCCGATGGGTTCGTGTCTTGTAAACGTAAAATAATCTCCATCTGAAACAGATGAGCATGGTTACTCTCAAGTGCAGTTTGACTTGGCAGAACAAAAAAAAAAAATAGAGGGGGGAAAATGCTCTAAGGATCAGCCTTTGATGGCAGTAAAAGAAATAAAGAAGTCATGGAAATGTTTTTTCATGAGCCAGCATGGGAAACCTAGGTTCAGGAGCAACCTAATTGTTCTTTCTGTAGAACAAAGGAAGCAGGCATTCCATCAGAAAGTAACCTGCTTTGTTCCTTGGGAAAGAGGACAAGCTGTACCACACAAAAAAGGGCAGTAGCAAGGAAGCCACTTTACTGGCCTTTGCTGATTTCAGGGTGAGAGAAGTAAAGGAAGAGCCACAAAGGCAATTTCCTTAAAGGCGTGACTGGAACGCAGCAATGTAAAGGTATATATACAGGCAGATGTGGGATAATAGAGTAACATACATCTCACTTATCTTCCATTGAAGACACAGGCAGTTCGAAGTAATGGAATGACATACCACACTCTGTAGATGTGGAATGAAGAGGGGAAGCCTGTGACTGATGTGTAATTGAGCATAATTTACTGCAGAAGACAACACTAAGGAGAATACAGGGGTCATCATATAGCAATGCTCTGATAGCTGATTTGTAGAACAAGGCCTGTATCAAAAATGGCCTCAAGCTAAATAGGCAGTCAATTTAAGTTGACAGGGAAAAGTGGAATGCAGCTAGAAAACAAGACATCAGAGAATAATAAAAGTTTTCACAAACCTTTTGGGCAAGGTAGATGCGAATAAATAAATGAAGGGACCAAGTCACTGGAAACTTGGGAATGATGGGCTTTTCTCACTGGACTTTTGCCAGAAATAAGAATATGGACTAAGAAAGATCCTAACAACAAAGATGCAGGAAAAGCAGACTGCATGTTCACAAACAGCAGGTGTGGATGGTATGAGGCTAAAGGGAATTACTTAGTTAGGTCTCTGATCTGGTAATTATTTTTAAGGTCCTGTTGAACAAAAATGGCAAAAAACTCCAGGGTTGAGCAGTATCATTAATTAAAGTGAGTGCTATGCTAGATCTGCAGTCCTTAACTAAAGCACTGTTGAGCTCAGGGCAGCTTCAGTCAGGTCATGAAATAAACAGATCTGTGATTTGGGGTCAGGCCTGTGGTCTGTGGGAACCTTTCACATGGCCCAGCCTGCTTAGAGCGGCAGGCCTCTGTGCTGGCTCATTTTGCACAGCTGGTATAAGTGACTGTCATGGGGGCTAATGGAGTTCATGCTCTTTCACAAAGCTGCACGGTTGTTGCTGCTTCAGCACTTGCCTGTGGTCTGGGAGTACGTGCTGAGGTTACACATGCTGTGATACGATGTAGGCTTCTTCCCAATTGACAAAGAGCAGGAAAATGACCTGCTCTGTGTGGGGACCAGTTAAGGTATTGTCTAACTATCAGCTTTGTTAGTGTGCTTGGCCTACATCTGTGCAAAGTAGATGTACAGCATTTCTATACGTAAATTGAATGTTGTAGCTGTATAAACTAGCCCAGGCTCAAACCACCTCTGAATTTAGGTCCAATGTTTTTCAGTGAGGCTACAGCTGAGGGAAGGGCTATGCTAAAGGCATGAGCTGAATGTGGCCCTTGGCCTGTAGTGCTTGGTCATCTAGAAAAACTTGGGTCTCTTTACTTAGAAAAATCATTTCAACTAAGTATGTGATAATGATGAGAAGGTTACCTAGGCTCAATCATAGGAGATGATTTACCAGGATAGGAAATGGTCAGACGGAGGAAGGAAGTAAAAGGAGAGGTTACAGTGCTTTTGCTCCCATTGTCACTGTCCAAGGCAGGGTATGTGCTTTCCTTCACATGGTGTGAGAGCATGCGGGCAGCTATAGCCTCTACCCCATTCAGTCCGGAGCTGCAGCCAGCCTTGTTCAATATCGGGTACAGACTGATACACAATGGAGAGTACATTTTGCGAACCTGCTGCAATGTCCTGTACTATACATCTGGTAACAATAAATGGGTTAATCCATAAAGCTGCTTGGGTTTAAGTAAAGACTTCAACTTGAATTTGATTAGAAATAACTTATTTTCAGATCTGCTTATTTCTGTACATCTACTTTACAGGATTTGCTCAGTAGAAACCTGAGCTAGAGTAGCTAATACATCAGCTGGGGGCCAGATATGGAATAATTATGAGAAAGGCAACAATAGTCTGCAACCAAGACAAGGGACAGAACAGAGGAAATAGAGAGAGGGAGAGAGAGAAAAGAGATTCACATCAGGAAAAGGAGGAAGAAGATAGCTGATCAGTCAGTTTGCTCTGAATTGACAAAATGTCATTGCACCGTTTTGATCTTTAGATGCTTAACAACTTCCCAGTGGAGATGAGAATGTTTCACAAATTGAGATGATCAGTTTGATTTTCTAGGTTATCATTCAGAGATGCCAGCAGTGGTTCGCAGACCACAGGAAGAATCATCAGACCAGACAGAAGTAAAGTAGAAGTCAAAATACAGAGAAGTATATACAGGCAAAACTAAGTGCTCAAGAGGCACAGAGGAGTCAGCTAAAAATACCAGCTTGTACTTGGTAGTACTGTGAGAGGTGGATTCTCAGCCAGAAGGATGGTGACAACGTAACAGTAACACAGTTATGTTAGCACTGTCTGACTTTAGATTGGCACTGCATAATCATTGCCACATGTCTGCGTGCTTCATAACATAAAGTTATAGATAACCTGAACCTGCTTGCCAAGTCAGACAAATGGTGGTTAATTCTGCCGAATGTAGGCAGAACGTTCTTTCCGCAGAGCAATACCTCCCATACAGAGTTGCTTGCCCTGCTTTCTTCCACTAGACTCTAGACAGCTGCCCTTTTTGACACCTATTTCCAAAGTTCATCATCCACAGACTTACTGTTAAGATGGGATTTTTGAGGTTGCTTTCTAACAACATCTTTGTGAACATATGTGACTTGAAGTTATTCAGAAGCTTCAGATGCCTCTGGACAGGCCAAAGAGGTATCGAAGAGCCACCTTGTCCATAACGTAAAATAAGCCGTTACCGTGGCAAAATAACTCAAGATTGATGAAATGAAATCAGTTTTTCTGAACAGTGAGCATAGGAAGCTCCCCTGTGCTCAGAAATTAAACAGGAGACTTTTAAAACATTTTAGAGTTTTAAGATTAGTTTATATAAATCATGCTAATGACACTTATTCTAAGATGCTATTGCTGATGATTGTTACTCTTATCCTTCTACTAGCTGGCAGCCAGAAGAACATTGCCTGAGGGGGATCTGACAGTCTGATCCCACATCCAATCTAAAAATTTGTCTTAAAAGTTTTTTTTAATATTCTCAGCTGATGTAAACTGGCATTCTTCAGTCCTCACTGATTAATAGAGCCAGATCAATTTGCAGCTGCTTAGCACCTGGCCCAAAGATTTTTATTTTTTAATCAGAAAGAAAGTCACGTTTATCCAGGGATCTCGCTTTGGGACAGCAACACCTGCCATAGATGTATTTGCCCAGATTTCCATCAGGAGTCTCCATCCCAGATATTTTATTTGCATAACAATCACAATATAGTCACGTGCCTTATATAGCAGGACACATCAAACAAGTGGATGAGGAGAGCCAAGTTGGTTCTTTAAGCTGTATCATATCATACATTGATTTAAAGATACATTTTTGCTTGCATTCAGTTTATTAGTTTAACAGTTTCTAGTCTAGCCTCATTCTGTTTTAATTTAAATCATCAAGGCTTTATGCATGGAAGCAAGCAAAGGGCTGTCTGAAGGTTTTAGCAGCTCTGGGACCAAAAGGAATGTGACTGTAAAACACACTGTTCTTCTACTTGTCTATCACTTGCCTATTTTTATTTTAGAGGAAAAGAAAACCTCCACAGAAACAGGTGAAAGATTGGGAGGTTTCAGATTTATTAGCACACTGAACAGAAGGAGAAGGAGATTTAATAGGGTTTTTATTTTGGTTTTGTTATCTTGTTTGGTTTCCTTTGATGACCTGATGGTAAGTGAATGTAAAGAGCACCATTGTTTAACACTGGTCTTGCTCTGAAATAGCTTTATGAGAATGACAAATTTATGGTGTGAAACTAGAGGAATACAGAGGAGTGTTAAACCAAGAGGAAGGACTAATTGATACCCTGAAAATCTGTGAATGGTCTTAAGATTCTACTCTACTGATAACTGTGTTTGTTAGCACTGAAGTTTGCATTTAGGAAGGCCTGCTGAAAATGTGCCGCCTTCTCCCCCAGCGTAGCCCACCTCACTGAAAAAATCAGGGTTTTCATCTGATACCCTACTTGAGGACAAGAATAAGCAGAGAATATTTATTCTCCTTAACCTGGCAAAGCCTTTTGGTGACTTTCTATATACCTACGGGGCTAACGAGTGAGAAGGAGGCATTCACTGACCAGGAAGAAAGGGATTAGGGAACAGGAAATTTGCTGAATATATGAATTTATGGTGTGCTCTGCACTTTTGCATGTTTAAATGTGAAGTGCAAGCAGCAAAACCAGGATTTATGAATCTCTGTCTAAATGACTGTGGAAATCTTAAAGAGTCCTTACAGGAGAGTCTACACCTGAAATATTGTCATTTATTTGGTGAAAATATACTAGTGATGGTAAATATCAGTCAGCATACACTGCAATTTTAATAAGCTGAAACACCATGATGAGTAATGCTGCAATAAGAGTTACACGATCCATTTTCCTCCTGAAAATTTTGGGGCCACATTTTCAATTTATCTGCTTGCCTAACTTTGATAGTTTTGTGCTTTGCTGTACAGAGGCAAGCTAGTGTACTGCAGATATTGTGTTACATAGTGTAATTTTATGGAAATAGATGGGCAACAGCAAAATTCGTTTACTTCTGAGTGTGCCTTCCTGGTCTCCTTCAATAAAGTGTAATAAACATGCATGTGCACCACGAAATCAAAAAGAATCCATAGAATAAATGTTTTTACTGTTTTTCCAAAGATTTATTTTATGCAGGTAAAAGATGAGTACATTTATCTTAATGACTGAACCTGCATAAAATCATTCTTTGCTATCATGTGCCATTTTGCATAATTATAGCAGTTGGTACATCTAGCCCAGACTGCATATGAATATGTTCGCAACAGAAAATGCTGCCTGTATTTGTTAAACAGCTGGGAGGGAGGGGCAGGAGGAAGAGATTTGTTAAATAAAAATAATGGTAAGGATTTTTTCTTTTCATATCTCTTTAGCAAAAAATAAGAGCAGAATAACTTAATTTCCTAGCACTCATAAAGATTTATCTCACACATACCATATAAAACTCATCCCACTGAATAATTTGAAAAAGCATATATAACAAAATTTATCAGATACATATGTACAGTTCTCTATAGTAACATTACAAACTCTCTCAAAGTATAAATGAATTTGGATCCAGTGTTAGTCCCAAGTAAAATGATTTGCATAGGCAGTAAAAAGACATATATACGTAAGCATACCATGTCTTAAACAGGCAGCTAACACTATTTTCATGTGTTCCAAGGTATTTGTCAGGCTTATACCACATACATTTTTATAAGTGTAACAATATTTAAATGTAGGTATTGAGCTATCTGCTGCTCAGATGGACACATGCAAAAGAAACAAAACACTCTTTGGGATGTGCATGTAGGGCAGAACAACAGCAGGTCATCTAGTCCAGCCCTTGCTGACTTTTAAACATCTGCTTCAGCAACATACTACACACTGTAAGACCAAAACAACGTTCTCTTCTACCTTTCATGAAGCTGTAATCTATTAAGCCATTTGGCCATGAGAAGGTTTAGGTGCGTACCTTGTGCTTTAATCCGCCTTACCTACAGGAATGGTCATTCCATGGATTTTGTCTGCCCAACCAGCATAATACCTCAGGGTTTTTATGACTCCCTGAAGATCTACATAGAAAGCTTGCAAGAAAGGTTTGCCACTGTTCAGTGATTCCATAGTCTAGAGGACAAGAAGAAGTTAAGAAATATAAGCAGAGGAGCATTTTTAGACTATTGTACTTAAGTATTCACTGTCTTAACAGCTCTTCAATCATGACAGATTTTAATGAGGACCAACCATGCCTTGGCATAGTCTTAACCCACAAGGTTCAGAATAACTATCTGAGCCCCTTTGTTACTTCTTTTTACAAATGTGAACAAAAAGCATTTTTCTTAAAAAAAAAATCTGGTTCCTTCTAGAGAATTCTGGAATTACTATGATTTTAAGAATGTGTGCGTTCGTGTGTGTTTATGTGTGTATCTGTCTTGTGAGTTTGTGCGTGTATCCACATGCATGTACATGTGCCTGTGTGTATTTTGGACCCAACAGCCACTGTGTTTGGTCCAGATACATAAATGCTAAATTGCTTTAATCAGGAGCCAAAATAAAAATGCCTGTCAAACTAGGTTCTGTTATGTTAATGATAACAGCTGAGGAGGGGCTCCTTGTAACCCCATATTAATGATCTGAATCCATAAAGAGAAGAATGGACATATCCCTCTTTATATAATTGATGTGAATATAAAAATTTCTCTATATGGCTGCCAAGACTCCTGCTGAGGTCTGAGATATCTATACTGTACAGCCAGTTTATTTATTGCCATCAAATAAACAAACTCTCCTCTAGGGAAGCTCATAAATTAACAAGCTAATGTCCTTATTTTTAAGTTAATATTCCTAGTTTTAAAAGTATCTTATAAGCTATCCTCTTAGGGGTTCCTAAGATCATTTAGCAAAAAGAATCCAATAAAATATCCTAAGATGTTCAGTAGCTTAACTCATTCTCAACAGCTGTCTAATAGAAATCGTTAAGAATGGGCAAAGTATGCCCATGTGTAACACGCCAACCATCAAATGAGTTTCTATAGAGAAGAATGGAGGCCTAATTCTGCACTGACTTATATCCCCAAGAGCAATTAATGGCATTGCCTGCAGTGCAATTCAGTAAAGAACTTGGCTCTAGAAATACAAATCAAATGACAGGCAGAGTAAACTTGATTTGCTGTGCACTTCCTTCTCCCTGTGGCGATTTTACAGTATACACTGGTGGTAAGATGATTTAAGTGTTGACAAAGCTGGAATTAAGATGTTCACCAGCTTAGTTCAAAGCACTTGACATGCGGAAAACAACATTAACAATGCCACCATTTAGATGGCTTCATACGTGAGCGAAATAGTGCAATACCCAGAATTCATGTTACCAGTTGAGTGTCAGTAAGCATTTCACCTGCCATTTCATTAATATCTGCACAAACGACTTCACTCAGTCTTCCATTTTTTATTTTAGAAAAGTTACAAGCGCGTATAAGGCATACACATGTGTGCACACCCATTCATTTGTCTGATCTCCAATTTAAAGCTCATTTGAGTCAACTGGAAGACTTGTCAACTTTTATGAGCTTTGGATTAGGTCTTAAGTAGACAGCCATCTTAGCCATCAAGCTGAGTATCGTTTTCAAATATAATTCATATTAACACATTTATGAACTAATTTGCTCTCAGAATGTAAAACTGACAGGTGATTTGACTGTTGATTTTCATGTGCCACTTACAGCAAGAATTGCCCTGTCTCTTTCGACCAAGTCTGCTAGCTTATCCAAAAGATGGCCTCTTTCCGATGCATCCATTCTCCTCCAAACTGAACCTAGAGAAAAAGCAAGGCGAGCTGCCCTCACTGCTTTGTCCGTATCAACCTGTCAGGAAAGAAGAAGAAAACCAAAGGCACTGAGGTAAATAACATTACCAGGCTTATGAAATTTGCTGTTGTACAGCCTTAGTCACACGATGGGTTTTGGAACTGTGATAAATATAAGAACTGTCCAACAGTGCTATTCTAGACCTGTTGCTTTGATCTATTTATACATTCTACCCATTCACAGGATGCATTACCTTGTCAGCTTCCTGGATCTCACAGATCTGCTCTCCTGTTGCTGGATTATATACTGGGAATATTCTCCCACTTTCAGAATTTTGCCACTCATTGTTGATGAAAATCTAGAAGAGGAAGAAAAGTCATCAGTCCTTCTGCATGAACAAACAGTAATGTATGTAACAACAAACTCCTGGGAGAGGCTGCAGATTCTAATACGAAAGAGTTGAAACTTATTTATGCCTGTGAAAATCACAGTTTTCAAGAGTTCAGGCTAAGGGTCAGCCCCTGATGTCTTTCTGTATTTTGTGACAGTGTTACTATAGAAGCAACATCAAACTCTAAATAAGTTGGTTGACATTCAAATTTGGTTCAAAAACTGTAACAAATAAACTAAAAAAAGAAATACCTGCATCAGAGAAAAAGCCTTGAAACTGCTGGAGACAAGGCAAGGATTTGGAGTAATCATTCAATTCAGTAAGTAAATATTTGGTCACTGATACAACCCAGTCAAGGCTGAATAATCTCAAACATTACAGTTCTTCAATACACAGTCAGTTGGTTATGGCTACAGTGATGGCTTGCAGCACAAAATTAACTTGCTTATCTGCTTGGAACAATGGAAATTGTTAAATTCTCTCAGTGTTGACATAATTTTAATTGTCATGGGCAAACCAAATTTGAATTTTAATGGTGCTGACAATAGCTGTCTTGAGAGAGGTAATGACAAATGAGCTTATTTAAAGTAGATTTTTACTGGTAGCTGCATACATGCCAGTTATTTTCTACTAAATGACTTTCAAGAACAGGATGCAATTATTTATTAGCAAATATGAAATAAGTCACTCTAGGAAAATGGCTGAGTGAAAGGTTTTCCAGGTATTCAGACTCTTCCTGTCCTTGACATCTTTCTAAGAATGGAAGTGCTCAAAAAGTCCAGGCACCATATGGGTTCCTTGGAATTCAGGTATCAATGTTCTTTCATTGTATTCCATGAAATACAACTTTAAATGTGTAAGGGGAGGTTCTGGCCTCATTGAAATCAATCGGAATTTTACCACTGACTTCATTGGAGGCAGGAGTTCACCCCTAGATAGAAGGAATGTTTATCACCCTTTCTTGCATGAGGGGTCAAGTTGTGTTTATAAAGACAGGAACCTTTCTCTGGTTAAAGCAAAGCAAAGCCCCATACCCCATACAGATCCTACGACTGTGGATGAGTAAAAAGCCAAGGGACCCTTTCAAAGATTCAGGAGTCTCAGTTCCAATCAGAGATAGTCAGGTGGTAGAAACTGGCCTATTGTTTTAGATCATGGCTACGGAACAGGAATGAATGATACATTAAGTATTGGTCCAGTTTCCTCACAGAACCACCACAGATGCTGGGACAAAAACCTGTCCCACTAATTATTAAGACTAAACATCACAAACGACTTGTCCAGAGTAGTACTTTGCCACCTCTTTAATCTTGCACTTTCTGCTGTCTTACTACCATGCAGTAAAGAAGCTGTTAGCTTTGTACTGGTACATGGCTCAGGTCAGCCAGATATGCTCAGGGAGACGATGAAAGACAGTTCACATGTAAGGACTGTGCTTGAATGGTGTCAGGTTGTTGGTTCCTTTTTTGTTTGTTTTCTTCATAGCAAAGTTTGATGTGGCAAAACCAGGACAAAAGACTTACATGTTTTTCATGTGGAAATAAATGGAATGTAATACCGGTCCTTTCTAGTCAAAGAATAGTATGATATGATTACAGATCAGCTGCTGATTTTTTAAGCTAGGAATAGTACAATGAGGATAGCCGCACCAGCCTGCCAACTGAATAGTTTAAAACTTACTCTAACTGAAGTGTTTACAACTTGTCTGATGGCAAAAAAAGCATCAGCATCAAAATGTTGGGTGTTTTAAGGGAAGAGGATCACCAAAGCTTTAACACATCTGTAAGGAAGGAAGGAAACAAGTAGAGAGCTAGTCATAAATTGATGAGAAGAAACTGAGCTGGGAAAAAACCCAACACTATTCTAGCAAAAAAAGCAGCCAAGAGAAAATATAGTCAGAAAGCTCAAGATGAACAGTTGCAACACCGAAGGGTATAAAGTGTCCATAAAAGAAAAGAACATTGTGAGGACACTGATGTGTCTCTGCATTTTGAAGAAAGTAAAGAAGTTGCACACTCAAATTTGCACATGAAGGCTAAGATGCGTCTGTAGAGTTTTCTGTTACCAGACATGAGCTTGCTCAACCTATTCTCCAAGCCAAATGGAAGCCATGTAGCTGTGTTCTTCTCAGCAGGGCTTATTAGCTCAGGCTCAGTGCCACACTAACTGCAGTGGCATAGCTTCTGGTTCAGAGCTGACTCACGTCTGGCTGACTCAGGACATGGGCAGAAGGAACCTGTGCATACCTGGAAGAGACCCTAGTGATACAACAACTGTGCCCAGAAACCAACACTTACGTGTGCTTTTGCTTTTATGGATGTGTTTTTTCTGTTGTGTTTCCTCATCTTCCCTGTGCGTCTAGCCTTAGCCACTTTGTGGTGTGCCCTTCCATCCATTTCAGAGTCCGTCCTTTCCTTACTTTCCCCCCCTTTTTGTTTTGGTTTTCAGAAGTAGCTGAACCCAGGACCTACCACACCATTACCCAATCACTTTCTTTGCACGCTATATTTATCTTGAACCTGTTCATGTCCTTGGACTGTAAGCTCCTCAGACCATGGGTGGTGTCTTTCTGCTCAGTGATTACACTGCTTTGCAAACCAAAGTATTGGCCCATTACGACATTTTGGAGCTAACCCAGCCAAAATGAGATAATGAAAGAATCACCAGTATCATCTCTAGTGACTAACACCATAAGACAAAATCCTCTGGTGTATCATTGTCACTTTTTAGACTGTAAGTGAAACAAAGAAACTCCGAGATCTGTGACCTGTGTGGAAGAAGGATTTTACTGTCATCCTTTCCATTGAGTTCGGTGGAGTTAACTCCATGCCCAGAGTGTGTGGGGGTGTGCTGAGGTGGGAGGGGAAGGCAGAAAAGCTTGCAGCTTCAGGAACAGATGGCCAAAGGAGATGTAAGGATGTTTGTTTAAGGTTACAGTATATACAAAAACACATAGGTTCCTCGTGTGATCTGTCTTGAAAGAATAAAAGAGTTAGGTTGAGTATAAGAACCTGAGAAGTGGAGGCAACTACAATTCAGTACTCTTCCCTTATAGAAGTGGTCTGTTCTTTTTTAAAAACATTAAAAGATGTTAACTACATTCTGCTGGGATGAACACCTATCATCAGGTTTGCTAGTACACAGGACATGTGTTTGTTCTTAAAATACATTTCACCACAGGAATAAGAAATAGTGCCCTGGAATTACAAAAGTGTTGCAATTCAAGTTGACTGGAACTATAAGGTGTATTATTTTATTGGCTGCTCCATTTATCCCACAGGTTTAGAAAAAGAACGGTAATAGCAAATATTGCAGATAGGACATGGGAAGGATCTATTTGGCATAAAGTTAGAGTTGAAGGCAAGAGAAATTGCTACTGTTAATGGTTAATGTTAGTTTCTTCCTGTTCCACTTTCTATAAACAAGGTATTGCCTATACAAGCTCATTACTGTAAACTGAGCACATTTAAATTGGCAGTAAAATCAGAGTATTTACTCTAGTGCACAAATAAAGTACCTAGTCCCATGTTTTGGAACAGTTTCAAGTCTTGAAATGCAGCAGCTGGCGGCTTTACAAGCAAAACCTTACACTTAAATAATTCACTTTTGAAAGTTTTAGGTGTTCTGTGTCAGGTAGTACCATTCAGCAGATATTCCTACCACCAAGACGCAGATTCTTTTGCAATAAATTTGCATTCACAGGGGCTTTTATAACTCTTCCAGCACTACTGACTCCAATGGCTGTTGATTAAACGTATATATCCTGTACATTTAATCTGACTTTCATTATGGCCACTTCGTAAAAATGCCATGAAATGGACAAGCGATGACACATTGCAAGAACAAGGAATCCCTGCAAAGCCTCAAACTGGGTTTTTTTCTGCCTTATTTATAGTGACCATGGTAAAGGCTAACTCTAAATCAGGGAGAATATTTGACAGCAAATGTTCCTATCTATGGATTATATATAACCCATCCTAAACACCAGATGAAAAAGGGGTAACCCTAGAAAAAAGAAGGGCTTGCTTCCATGTAAATCATGCTACAAATTGGACAACACCCAGTGAGTTCATTGTTCAACCTCAATTGTGAAGGCTATTCACATTTACTATTCCCCTGGAATCAATGTTAATTAAGGCTGACTGGGGCTATAAATCAGCCTTTGGTTTTTACAACTTAATTCAGCATTAAGCATATATATGTAAATAAAAGGTAACTGATTAACCACTTGAGTTTTCCAGGAGTTACTGAGGTAATTTGTTTTTGTTTGAGTCCTAGTGTTACCTTTTGTGATTTGCAGTAAGGAAAGGAAAAAGTATATAGTATGTCATGTATTTGCTATGCGGTATTGTGAGTAGTTAAATAATCTAGCCTGTTGGGTGCTATCAACAAAACTGTGCCAAAATAGAAAGGGAGGAAGGGAACACTTGAAAAATTTTGGAACACATGAACATTTAGTTTGCCACCTACTCTCAGTAGAGCCAGTAACTGCAGTAATGTCAGAGCAGGAAGAGAAAAGGTAAACCTTCCTGTTTTCCGTAGGTGTCCCTGTCAGTACAGCGATTTGGCCAAGAACAAACCCAATTGGCAAAACAGACAATGCCTCTTTTAAGTGAGGAATGTGGCTGCAATTGGTGTACAGTGGTCCAAGGAGGAAACGAAATACTATTTGTTCACCAGCAATGCTGCCTAAGGCAACATGCAGAACAGGGCAGCAGCTGAGGTCACGGGTGGGTGAGGTGTGTATGTGTGTGGGATGGGGAAGTTTCAAACAGGCCTTACAGTGTAATAGATGCGGTTGGAAGCTCCCGGTTGCCTCTGTGAACGTGCCCTTGGAGCGTCGTCATTCTCATGAGATCTCATCATAAAGGTCTTTTGATAATTTCTGTTCCTTTCCAAATGAAAGATGGAGAGGACATGGCATTTTCCTAAAAGAAGAGGCACATCCCTCCTCGTGCTGACAATAA